ACTCACTTGGTAGCCCAGGCTGGCCTCGAACTCACAGAGATCCGCCTGCCTCTGCCTCCCGAGTGCTGGGATTAAAGGCGTGCGCCACCACCGCCCAGCGATATTTACTACTCTTTTCTACTATATTTTTGATTTTCTACTAAACAAATCATCTATTTTCTACTAAACATTATGTTAAATAATGGATTGCAAAGAAATGTAGGCTAAATATTTGTAACTCAAAAGAATTCAATTAACCTAACTTTCAATATAGATGCACTGTACTCATAGAAGAGAGACTAAGACAATGGAGATGGGAAATGGCTTATGGAGACTTTCAATAAGTTAGAAGTACAACTGAGAATATGCATGACTTACCACACTGTGGATATGGAACCACAATTGGTATTTGCTGGTTGTGTTGCTACCATTTCTCCGTCCCATTAATCTACCAGTTTAGCACATTAGAAGCAAGGCACTTCTGAAATCGTGCTGAGAAAATAATATTCCATCTCTCTATTTCTAAATATAAATGCATTTTAAAGCCCATTCTTTAAAAAATGTAGTTAAAATGGTGTTGGCTGTGGATTTATCCTATATAGCCTCTATTTTGTTGAAGTATGTTCCCTCTAGTCCTAATCACTTTAATATTTTTGTCATAAAAATACATCAATCCTATTAAAATCAAGAATGAGACAGAGATGTCTACTACTCCACTCATTTTCAAATTTTCAAATGGTACTTGAAGTGCTAGTCAGAGCAGCAAGACAACACATGGCAGTTAATGGGATGTAAGTAGAAAAAGAAGTCAAATTAATTTCTCTGTGTTGCTTTGGACTCTCCAAACTGCTGGGATCTCCTGCTGCACCTGGGCTGTTCTTTCCTCAATAGTCTCTCCTTTGGATCTCTGCAAGGACTCTTTCCCGCCCCAAATGATGCCAAGCCTCAACTCCTCCCCATTACCTTTGTAATTCTAGTTCTTCTGCTATATCTGAGGCTGTACCTTCACCAATGGCCTCTCCCACTTGTCCTTCAGTGACTCCAACCATACCAAGCCTCAGTTGTTCATGATTGCCTCATTCCGTTCAAAGCAGTAACACCTAGTAACACATACACTACCATGTTTGGCTGCCATCATGAGATACAGCCCTGGTCCACTCTGGACTGCAAGGTCTGTGTGCTAATCTTGAGAAATATGCCCCAATTTATGATGCTTAATGCTGATGAACTCCTCTATCACCACAAGTCTCCCAGCTCCAACTAAGCAGCATCAACTGTTTCAGTAATGCAAAGGATTTTCTTTCATGTTCCTGGTCTCTTCTTAATCACACCTAAGTCTTCAGCTCCAGCAGACAAGTCACCACAGATTCTTAGTTCAATATTTTGAATGGACTAAATAGAGTCTTTAAGGGACTCTCAGAACTTTCCTCTGAAACTCGAAAATCCAGGCCTTCATCATCTGCACTGCTCAATATTTAACTTATTTCCCACAGCAGTTCACTAATCTCTGAATTCTCAATGTCTTTCC